ACAAACAAACAAACAAAAGATGTAGAAGAGTGCAATAGCATAATTAACAAACTTAACTATAAATGTATATAAATCTATACACACAGACACATTTCTCTTATGTCAACAAAGACCATACCCTCTTTTCGAACACAAACAGAACATCCACAAAAATTGTTGCTGAGGTAGAACACAGAGAACAGCTTAAGAAATTCCAAAATGAAAAAATCAGATAAGCCACATTTTCTGAACAGACAGCAGAAAAAGTAAGCATTAATATCAAAAGCCTGGCAAAATGGTTCTATTTCAAGATTTTAAAACACGCTTTAAGATAAAAAAGAAAAGAAAAACTAAATAACTGGAATTAGTTATGGATTAAGAAATGAATGTCCATGAGAGTACCACGTCATGAAAGACATGGACAAAGCAGTCGTCAGAGGAAAATTTGTAGCTCTCAACCCTGGTGCTAGAAAACAAGAGAGGCAGAAAAACAATAATAAAATAAAAGCAAAGATAGCAAAAGTAAGAAAATAATAAAAATAAAAGTAAACATCAGTGAAAGAAAGCATAAACAAACAGAATGGTAGTGCTTTGAAAATAAAAAATAATTTAAATAAATTTCTGGACATTCTGAACAAGTAAAAAACAAAACAGTCGGCAGCAACCAGGCATAAATGAAAGCATTTGAAGTGAAAACGTGTCCAAAACTGAAGTTATAAAAAGGTTAGAACTGAATACAACTTTATGTCAACATTTTTGGGACTTTAGATGAAAGCAATGCTAATCCAGGAAAATATAAATTACGGTAGAATCCCTCTAATCCAACACAGTCCAGGCCTATAGTCAGTCGGTTAAGTGAAAAAAGTGTTTAAAGTGAATAATTATTAAAAAAAAGTCATTATGGATCTCAAACTTTTACTTTAATTGAAACCATAGAAACATATATTCACTCACCAATGTTTTATGCAGGGTTAATGCCTTCTCTTTAAAATTGGACATCTGATTGTATTTCTACCTCATTTTTCTTACGTAAACACTTATAGTTCACTTTTGACAATTTATGGGTTTTGATTTTTGAAACAGAGGGAAAATATTAAGACATACACTGTTCAGTAATGCCCCCTAATCCATGCGGGATATGTCCCAGGTCCCCTAGGGGATGCTTGAAACCACAGATACCTAACATGATTGCTGTCAGTCGGAACACATTTTTGTTGAAGTCTTCCATCCATAGATTCAATGCCTTTCCCACCTTAACTAAATACTTACTAACACCGTGGCCATAACTTTGGCAGCTGGAGGTATGACAGCAAAACTAGCACAAATTTCTTTTTCTCTCTTTACAGTTTTACAGTTGGCAGGTTCGTTCTCATCATAGATCTTACCAACATAAGCATAGTATTTGTTCCCCTTATTAAGTTGAGAACTTTCACCTTTTCACTTAAAGGAAGCACTTTATGGCTTCTCTTCTGCATATTTGAGCTCTCAGCATCACTACTCTTGCCCTTTGGAGTCACTATTAACCAAAATAAGAGTGACTTGAACACAGGGCACTGTGATACTGATACCATGACAGCCAGTCTGCTAACCAAGATGGCTACTTGGTGACCAACAGGTGGGGAGTGTCTACAGCTGGATAAAAGATGATTTAAATCCTGGGCAGGATGGAATGGGACAGCAAGAGAATTCATCATGCCACTTAGAACAGTCTGCAATTTAAAATTTATAAATTGTTTATTTCTGGAATTTTCCATGTAATATTCTTGGACCATGGTTGACTTTGGGTAATAGAAATTGAGGAAAGGGAAACGTCAGATAAGCGGGGGGTGGGAGGGAACTACTGTAATCTGATTGTGGAATTCTTATAAATCAAAGCTTCTCAAACTTTACTGTGCACACAAATGTCTTGGGGATCTTGTTAAAATGCAGAGTCTGACTCAGTAGGTATGGGTGGGGTTCTGAGATTTGGCATTTCTAACAGGCTTCCAGCTGATATTGGTGCATGGGCCACACTTTGAGTAATAAGGATATAAATTCCTGCCTTCACCCATGCTTCCAGTTGTATTAGAACATTTAAGTACAAATCATTTATCTAAGTGACTCAATTCTATCTAGTCCTCCTAAAGTATTCAACTTAGTCTTCATGAAAATGAAAACTTGTTTTTGGCAATTATGCCATTGGTCCATATAATGTTAAATTAAATAAAGTAATTATACAGGTACACTTGTAAATAAATTTGAGAGCAAACACGGCTAAAAGCTGGTAAGCATTCACCTTAAATCATGGAAGCAGAGGGTAGAATTATAACAGAAAGTAACCTATAGGCCTACCAAAATATCCAGCTTGTTGTGAGAATCCTCCCTTCAAAAGCACTTTACCCTGTCCCTGAAAAAGCCCCAGGCCCAGAGGTTATAGGTAGGTTTTACCAAATTTGCAAGGAATAAGTATTCCCGATCTTATGTATGTTTTTTCAGTGAGAAAAAATGAGACATATGTTCTGCTTTGATTTGAATGTTTGAGCCCTTTGAAACTCATGTTGACATTTCATTGCCATTGCAACAGTATTAAGAAGAGGGGCCTTTGAGAATTAATTATGTCATGGGGGCTCCATGAGTGGGTCAATGCTGTTATCTCAGGAGTGGAATGACCCTTGCCAGAGGCCAGCATCACACTCTTGGACTTACCAGCCTTCAGAACCATGAGCCAAATAAACTTATTTTCTTCATAAATTACCCAGTCTGCGGTATTCTGTTACAGCAACAGGAAATGGACTAAGACATGTGTATTAGTCTGCTCTCATGCTGCTAATAAAGACATACTCAAGACTGGGTAATTTATAAAGGAAAGAGGTTTAATTGACTCACAGTTCCACATAGCTGGGGAGGCCTCACAATCATGGGGGAAGACAAAGGAAAAGCAAAGGAACGTCTTACATGGCAGCAGGCAAGAGGATATGTGCAGGGAACTGCCCTTTATAAAACTGTTAGATCTTGTGAGACTTATTCACCATCACGAGAACAGCACAGGAAAGACCCACCCCCATGATTCAATTACCTCCCACCGTGTCCCTTCCATGACACCTGGGAAAGATGAGAGCTACAATTCAAGATGAGATTGGGCTGGGGGCACAGCCAAACCACATGAACATGTCCCAACTCATTGTGTAAAGTTCATACAATCCTTATCCCAAACTAGGTAAGAGTACGAGAAAAAAAAATCACATTCATATAATTATGAACATAAATATGAAAATCCCAATTAAATTTTAGCTCACTGATTTTAATTTTATATTTTAAAGAAGTAAAATATGATGAAGAATCAGGGCTAATACTTCAAATGTAAGAATGGTTCCATATCAGAAAATCTATTGACATAGTTTATCCCCTTCATGGACAAAGGAGAAAAACTATGTATCCTCTCAATGGATATAAAAGTATTTTAAAATATTCAATTTTTTTCCTAATTAAGGAAAAAATCCTTGTTCACTTATTAGTAGAAAATATTCCCTTAACCTAATAGAGGCTATCTATTGGAAATCTACAGTTGAACCTTAAAGAACACAAATAATTTTGAATAAATAGAAAGACCTATCATTTTCCTGAAAGGATGCCCTAATATTATAAAGATTGCATTTTTCCCAAATAATATAAACTCATTTCAATCACAATAAAAATCCAAAGAAGATTTCTCTTTTTAGTTGGAATTGTCAAACTGATTCTCAAGTTTATATGCAAAAGAAAATGCATAAGAATAGCTGTTCTGAAACATTTGGAGAAGACAAGTGACAGATAGGGAGATTTTAGCAAACAAATAAGTAGTATCCGGAATGTATAATGAGCATCTACAAAACCGTAAGAACAATGCAAACAATGAAAGAGAAAAACTGACAAAATAAATAGGCTATTTACAGAAAATGAAATACAGGTAGCTAATAAACATACATAAAAATGTCCAGTCTCAGGAAATTGCAAATTCAAATCAGGGCTCGTTTGTTTGGGTTTTTGGCCATTGGATTAGAAACAATAAGAAGAGTTGTTAAATACATTATATTCCATCCACTTAAGGAAAAAGATACGTTAAATAATTGTATTTCATCCATTTAAGGAAAAAGATAGATTGCTATCAAATATAGCGAACACACAAAGAAGAACATGTACGTGTAAACTCTAAGTGTGTGTACATGAGAAAAAAGCGCATCTGGAATGCCAGTGCCCAGCCTAGACATGCTGGGCTGTTAACCCAGGCCCAGTGGGGCAGAAGGGTGGGCCAAGCACAGTGCCTTGTATAATTTGCTCAGGACACTAGTATGTTATTGAATCTCTGGTATGAGGATCTATTAATAGATTTTTTTAAGTGCCCTAGCCAAATTCTATGCCTTCTAGAAAAATATTCTGCTTCTGTTGTTCCTTTAGAGAGCTGTTCAGCAGAGAATCTAGACGTTTCCTTCTGAAACAAATCCAATAACTATTCAACTATCAAATTTAGCATTCTGGCTGTATAGAAAAATAACAATGCTATATTAAGTTACCACTGTGAAGTAGGTGGCCAAACTGTATATGTGACATTCTTAGTTTTTCAACAAACTGAATATGCCTAAGGCACGTTTCCTGAATGCTTCTTCCAACAGCCAAAGCATGATATTATCATCCACACAATTTACATTCCCAGAATGGAAGTTTGCATTCCGACAAGGGAAAAGGCTCTGAGGCCCAGGCCCCTGCCCCGCTGCATGCCATGTATTTTGGGAGAGTCATCCTTTCTCAGGGACATGGTTTGCCACTATGTTCAGGGGGAACAGTATGAGTCACCTCCTCCCAGGGCTTTTCAAGAATCAATAAAATGAATCTGAAACAAACAAAGATTTGATCCAACATGAATACTGATTTTAACAACTTGTTTTGATTCCCTTGACGTTTTCCATTTCTAATTTTAGAACGGAACGAAATTATTTTTGAATGCATGTTTATGAATTTTCTGGCCACTTTTAAGCCTTTAACTATTTCACACTTTCTCTCTGAAGATCAAAGAAACTCTAGTAACATGGAAATTCATGCTCTGAGTAGTGACAAGCCAGTGACTTTTTCTATAGAAAGGGTACCAGACTCCAATGTGAAAATCTCAAGCAGCTTTACATTCAAGCAAGTGCAGTTCAATCTCTTCCTGACTCATTGTCTCATCAACATGCAAAGCTCTTGAAGAGAAACCATCTCTTACTTGCCTGAGGGAATTCTGGCAGACGTTTTGAATGTGGATGTGGAAGTTCTTCCCTCGTCTCCATCCTGTCAAGAGCCGTGGAGCAAACAGCAGGATGAGGAAGACATGGAAGACAAAACTGATAACGCACGTCACCTCGCTGCAGCAGGAGATGGGATGTAACTTCAGTTCAGCCTCTTTGGGGTTTGGGTTTTGACCAAGTAAACCGGGAATGTTGTTAACACATCAAGCCAGCTTTTATTGTTTGTCTTAACCAAAGAAAACACAAAATGACACTTACTTTGTTGCTCAATTCGGTTTTAACTTGTTGATGTCCCTCCCCCCGAAAAAAAATCATACTTGAAAATGCCTGGCAGGGACCCCTGAGATCTAGGGTTTGAAATGCTCTTTTGACAAGTTGAGAGGTTAAAAAGAATTCAGAAACATACTGTAGAGCCTCATGGGAGATTTTAGAAAAAAAAATATGCAAAGCATCTTTAAATGTGTGGAAAATTGCACTGAAGTCAGATTGTTTTCCTATTGATGTTGCATTGCTTGGCTGCAAGAGGTGGGGTGGGCACATGGTGGGGGGAGAGCAGGAGTGCTTATTAGGGTGCTGTCAGACCTCAGTGTGGAATTCCGCTTCTCACAGTTGGCCATAATCAATCAGTCAGACTCTCTCTCTCTCCTCCCTTCTCCCTCTCCCTTTCTTTCCCTGGTTGAAGGGGCCCTCTTAAATCGCTCTTGAGCCTGCATTCTAATTTGCTCTCTCTCCCACGTGAAATCCACTTCTCCCAGCTAAGCTGCGTTTTGCAGCTTTATGACGGTACCGAAAGCACTTTATTTCCACTTAAAGAGCTGCCTGTTCTATTTACCATCACTCTCAGGGTACTTAACCTCATTTAAAAGGCTGACTTTCCCCTGCATTATAAAGTTGATCGGGAGTCTCAAAGCCTCTTTCTCTGCCCAGCCCGCAGCCAGCTCTCTCCAGCCACCCCAGCCTCGCCCTCACCCCTCCCAGACTCTGTTCCAAGGCCCAGGCGCGCTCGGCGTGGGCGACGTGTCCCTGAGCGCTCCGCCTCCGGCCAGCCTGACCGCTCCGTGCTCGGTGTCACTCCTGGCACGTCTTCACATTCCTAAAATCCCAGAGAGGACCTCGTAATAGGATAAAAAAACAAGAATTTAAATACGAAGCAACAGCCCTTGCAGGGCTGCCTGCTCTGGCTGGGAAGGGCCTGGGCCTCCGCCTCCACCTGAGACGCTTGTTTCCTGCGCGGTTTTGCAACGTCAGAGCCGTCCACACTCGCAGGCCATTTTTAGCGGCCTGTTGGAAGGGGAAGACAGTGAAGTCGGCCTAAGCAGAGCAATGCTTTGCCCTCTGAGAGGCGAGGAGGACCCTTGGGAAGCTCAGAGAGCTACGATAAAATGGCTAAACGACCTTCCTCTCCTCCAAGTCACCAAATACAAGCCAGGTGGGCACCAGATGGGCAAACTGAGCTTGGTCGAAGCTTGTGCCTTCGCCTTCGTGTCTTTGGTTGGGGCTGTGTCACTGGGGACTGGGCCCGTTAGACCGACGACAGATGCGCCGCATCCGAGAGGAAAGTCACCTGTCTCGCAGGGAGGATGGCAGGGTGGCTGCTGGGGCAGGCGGAGCCCACGAGGGTGGGGCCGGGAGATCCTGCTCATTTTGCCCAGTTGGCCCCTGCAGAACCCGACACCCACAGCGCAGAGAGCACCCCGGCTGGGTTCCCTGACCGCGTCCCCGGAAGGCAGGAGCACCTTTCCGCGGTGGCCCAGGCCCCGGCTCCCCTCGTGCTCGCGGGAAAAGTGGCTTGGATGGATGAGCGCGCCTCTCCCGCTCACATTCCCAGTGCAGGCCAAGGCCAGAGCTGCTTTTCCCGCACACACAGGGAGGGACGGCCAGCTCACGGTGCAGACCAGCGGGATGGGGCTTCACCTCTTGCTACCGTCTCAGTGAAACTCGTACCCTGAAACTCGCAAATGGAATGGTATTAAGACCCAGCACTTTGGGAGGCCAGGGTAGGAGGATCACTTGACCTCAGGAGTTTGAGACCAGCCTGGGCAACACAGTGAGACCCCTGTCTTAAAAAAAAAAAAAATTGGCTAGGCATGGTGTCAGCACCTATAGTCTTAGTTACTTGGGGGGCTGAGGTGGGAGGATCACTTGAGCCCAGGAGGTCGAGGCTGCAGTGAGTTGTGTTGGCACCACTACATTCCAGCCTGGGCGACAAAATGAAACCCTATCTCAAAAAAAAAAAAAAAAAAGTGGGTCCTTAGGGCGTGACTGAGTCCTAAGCTCAAGCCCTGGTAAATGGGAGGAAGGCCTTCTAGAGGCTTCCCATGGTGTTCACCCCATTGCCTGCAAGGACACAGGTTGGAGGCCCCCTGGAAGCAGCCTTGCAGACAGGGAGCCTGCAGCGCCTGGGTCTGGGACTTCCCAGCCTCCAGAACTGTGAGAAAGAGACTCGTGTTTTTCAAACATTACCCGTCTCGGGTATTTTATTACAGCAGCACAGACAGACTAAGACACCTCTCTTCCCTCCTCTTCCAGTTTTCTGAGCATAAATCCTCAATGGGCGTGAAGCGCAGAATGGGAAGGCAAGGTGCACAGAATGAGCTCTAGAGAAAGCAGACTTTCCTTCTCCCTTGTGGTTTCACCTGCAGTCGCTAGTCTCCTACTGATGAAGAAGGGGCCTGGCCATAAGCTGTGGTTCCACCCCTTGGTTCCCTCCACACTGTCTCCCTCTCCAACCCGTCTCCTAAATATGTTTCTGATGACACAGGAGGTTAATGCTGTCTGCCTCAGGACTGAGAGACAGATTCTTTCCACGCCCAGAGGAGCCTGGCTTCAGGGTGAAGGGTGAGCAAAGTTCCTATTGAACTCGTGGCTTCTTGGAGCAGGATTTCCAAGAATTGACACTCCAAACCCGTATCCCAGGGCCGAGTCTGCCAGGCACACAGCCAATGTGTGTTCCTTTGCAGCTGCGAAACAGCAGGCAGCAGCCGCAGCTAATGTTTTTGAGAATTTCCCTCTTGCCTGTCTTTCTCCTCAAAGCTTAACAGACAGTGTCAGGGGCATGGTGTACAAAATCATGAACTGAAGCGTTTTCTCAAAAGCTCCTCTCATCTAATGCATTTAGATATTGCACAAGGGAAACGATGCAGACACCAGCCTCACACTGTCCCCTTTCTCTAACTGGGGACATCTCCTACAGGTGACATTTGAAATTCAGTCTCTCTTGGTGCCACCTCAGGATTTAACCCCAGCCTGAGTCCCCCTCCCCATCCTCTCCTTTCAAAACCTGGACCACCCAGGAAGTGGCCTTCAGTCTTCTGGAATGGATCAGGGAGGTGAGCCACTGCATCGGGGAGGGTGTTGACATGACTATGCGCCTTCTCTTTTCTGGGGAAGCCCTTTGTAGCAGAAAATAATATTTACTATGGAAACAACATAAATGAGTTTTTGTTGAGGACTCTAGGTTCGCCTTGTTAAGATAAATCTTAATAGGCTGAAAATTTTGCACTAATTTTTTTATAGTTCTAAATATTCCAGGCATTTAATATGCATTGAAGTCAGCGGGTCACAGCCTGTGGCTTAAAAATAATAGAGCCAATTTACACTCCTACCAACAGTGTAAAAGTGTTCCTATTTCTCCACATCCTCTCCAGCATCTGTTGTTTCCGGACTTTTTAATGATCGCCGTTCTAACTGGCATGAGATGGTATCTCATTGTGGTTTTGATTTGCATTTCTCTCATGACCAGTGAGGATGAGCTTTTTTTTCATATATTTATTGGCCGTATAAATGTCTTCTTTTGAGAAGTGTCTGTTCATATCCTTCGCCCACTTTTTGATGGGGTTGTTCATTTTTTTTCTTGTAAATTTAAGTTCCTTGTAGATTCTGGATATTAGGCCTTTGTCAAATGGACAGATTGCAAAATGTTTTTCCCATTCTGTAGGTTGCCTGTTCACTCTGATGATAGTTTCTTTTGCTGTGCAGAAGCTCTTTGGTTTAATTAGATCCCATTTGTCAAACCTGCATGGTCTGCACATGTATCCCAGAACTTAAAGTATAATTAAAAAAAAAAGAACTAATAGCGCCATTCCATGACTGGTGTTTCATGGGGCCGTTATCGCTTCGGCCTCTCTGTGCAGCACTTCAGACTTTGGGAATGTGTGTCTAGCATTGATGCTGAGCGTGGATTCAATCAGAAAGACCTACACGCAAACACTGGCATTTGTTTGTGTGACCCAGACAGGTTAACGCTCTAAGCCCTAATTTCCTCAGCTGTAAAACAGGCAATAATGACAGTCCCTATTGTATAGAGTTCTGAAAATTAAATACGCTCAGTGCCTGACAAAAAGTAAATCTTCAACAAATGTCAGTTCTTATTATTAAGGTTTTTACCACATCCTTGCTCAACGATTTGGAGTTTTTGTGTTATTCTCTGCAGAGGAAAATTGGCTTTGTGCTTGATTAAAACCTACCTTGGTTACCCCAATATCCTGCTGCTGTCCAGACAGCAAATAGTCTTTTGCAGAAGCAGGTAGCTCTTTAATTCTAGAGACAAGAAAAGGAGGCTGGAGGGTTCTGAGTTTCTCTAGGGGTGTGGGTGTGCGGGGTTGACTGGGCGTAGGAATCATCACTGACCACTTTGTTTTCCAAGAAGGCCCACAAAGGGCTGTACAGTTAGTATTTTATCAGGGACAAATAGGGAGTCTCCTCCATTGTACATTCAATGAATACTTGCAAAGGAAATGCGTGAATGAATGAATGAACAAATGGGTCATTTCCTTCTTGGTTTTCTCTAGAAAGGAAATATATAGTCATCCCTCTGTATCCAAACAGGATTGTTTCTAGGACCTCCCACCCTCAACTCCGTGGATACCAAAATCCACAGATGTTCAAGTCCTCGTTTGCATACAGCCTATCCACATACTCCCGTATGCTTTAAATCATCTCTAGACTACGGATAATACCTAACACTATGTAAATAGTTGTCGTATTACATTGTTTAGGGAATAATGACAAGAAAAAAGTCTGTACATGTTCAGTACAGATGCAATCATCTTTTTTTTTTTTTTTTTTTGGTAATATTTCTGATTCACGGTTGAATCCAGGGATGCTGACCCCACAGATTTGGAGGGCTGACTGCACTCCATGGTCAGCATATATGCTGTGAGCTGAATGAAGCTGGGTCTAGATCTCAGCCCTGTCATTGACCTTGG